GATATGTCATTTACTCTGGCGAATATTGGCTTCATTGTTACAAAGAAACTACATCTCAAACGGGCTGAGATGCAACATGCCATTATTGATTTCGAAAACTCAACAGAACAAGGCGATATGGTCCTCTTTTATTTTGCTGGACATGGAATACAATGGGAAGTACGTATTAAGTTTTTACCGTTGAAAACTATGTCGATGTTTTACGAGCACTTTATTTGTGGTACTTTTAGAATCAAAATTATTTGATACCAAAAGACATTCCAACTTTGAATGGCGCAGCTTTAAACACGAGAGCAATCAATGCACAAGATATTCTTAACAATTTAAGTGATCGCAATCCATATGTAACAATATTCCTTTTGGATTGTTGTAGAAACTATCACTTGCGTAATCCTGAGGTAGACGCACGTGGTCCGAATGTAAGCAGTTCAAAATCAGTAGGCCTCAAAGCCATGCACAAGGCTGGTTCATTGATTGCATTTGCTTGTGCACCGGGAACTATTGCCATTGAAGGAAAAGGACAGCGAAATGGTTTATTCACAAAGCATCTTTTAAAACACATTAAAACTGCGAATGAAGACATCCAAATGATATTACGTGATGTTACCGATGGAGTCATAGAAGAGTCAAAATCAGAACAAATTCCATTTGTGAGTGCTTCATTATCAAAGAAGGATATATATTTATGTAGTGAACAAAGAAATCAACCACCTAAACCAGGTAATACGCTAGTAAACTCTATCGCTCTTGTTTAAGGTGAATAAAAATAGTGTCATAACAATTTTATAAGTGAACTATCTTTGTTTCTAAGCATGTAGAAAACGGTCAATAAGAGACCGTTAACATTTGATTTATTTCTCGACAGAAATTAGGTAAAATGTAATAAATAACGCCATCAAAATAAACAGATAAATCGTATTCATCTACCGTCTCAATTTTGACAATGCATATAATTTTGTTAGCAAGATTTGACTAATTCCTACTTAAGAAGTTATAGACATCGCTCAAGAAAACAAGGGATAGACCACACGTGTTACTTTGAGCACGATAGAAAGAGAAAAATTTATGAGTCTTGTGTTTATCCATCCACATTCACATTCTCAAAATAGTTATTGGTAACTGGTGCGGGTGTAGGTGAATGACTGGATGAGAGAAGATCTTCACTTACACTAGAAAATAAAAGGATGTGGGCGGGAATGACCATTTTTTGTCCCAAACCTTTTTTAACTTTCAATACTCTGAAATGTATCAAGGAGTTATTGGAAGTATTTCATGCTACTTAGTCTTGCATCTTTTCTTA